TTGTATCTTTGTGTCCTAGTCTTCTTGTCTTCTTATCTCCTTGTTTCCTTTTGACTTTGTTCATTTCATTATTGTATCTTTGTGTCCTAGTCTTCTTGTCTCCTTGTTTCCTTTTGACTTTGTTCATTTAATTATTGTATCTTTGTGTCCTTGTCTCCTTGTTTCCTTTGGAGTTTGTTCATTTAATTCTTGTATCTTTGTGTCCTAGTCTTCTTGTCTTCTTGTCTCCTTGTTTCCTTTTGACTTTGTTCATTTAATTCTTGTATCTTTGTGTCTTAGTCTTCTTGTCTTCTTGTCTCCTTGTTTCCTTTTGACTTTGTTCATTTAATTATTGTATCTTTGTGTCCTAGTCTTCTTGTCTTCTTGCCTCCTTGCCTCCTTGTCTCCTTGTTTCCTTTTGACTTTGTTCATTTAATTATTGTATCTTTGTCTTCTTGTCTTCTTGCCTCCTTGTCTCCTTGTTTCCTTTTGACTTTGTTCATTTAATTCTTGTATCTTTGTGTCCTAGTCTTCTTGTCTTTTTGTCTCCTTGCTCCTTGTTTCCTTTTGACTTTGTTAATTTAATTCTTGTATCTTTGTGTCCTCCTAGTCTTCTTGTCTTTTTGTCCCAATGTCTAATTAAGCTCCTCCGTCTCTTCGTCTCCCTGTATTTTTGTCTGTTTGGCAAGTCAAAACAGACAACTTCAATATTCTGATATTGGGAATGGGTTACTAGCAACATTTTAAAACAGGTCATTTATAATTGAATCACAAGTAACCTTCCCAACCCTTTATGTTAGTGTGAAAGAAAATCATCAAACGTCAAAACAAACGTACCTTGACCGACCGGAGCCTCCTGCTGACCGGGACTTTGTGGGGGACCGGCGTAGCTCCTGTCCATAAGAGGTGGGACGTCCTCGATGGTCTTTCCGAGCCCTAACTGCAGCATGGAGCCGTCCCCTGTCTCCTCCGTCTGAGCTGCAGGACGGTTTGGCTCATCAGCAGGGTGTGTCACCGACTTCCTGTTGCTTTCAACTAAAGAAATCACAGAATAACCAATTCATCCTGGGGAGGTCTTTACAATTGCTTTCAAACATCATCAATATAATTTCTAAACACAAAGAGTTTCTAACATTTTGGGCAGAAGTCTTCGTCCGAGCGGTCGGTACAGTGCTGCTTCCCGTCACAGGCGTAGGTGATGTCAATACAGCAGCCGTCATCACACTTAAACTGGTACTTTGAACAGGAACCCGTGCACACTGTAGGCACAGAAAGTTACAGATACACACATTGAAATACTCTCGTGCTGTGAAAACAAAACTCAGTGATGCATGTCTTCAAAACTTTGAAATGTGAAGATCAATGTTTTGGTGAACTCATCACCTTCTGCTTGGTGTTTTGGTGCCAGCACAGTGACGGAGACGTTGTCCGAGCTCTTCTGTCCCGCTGTGTCTGTGACAGTCATCTGGAAGGAGTATACGCCCTCCTGCAGACCGCTGATCTTCAACAGTCCAGGATGAGTTGCCTTTGACACGTAAAAAAGGGTTCAAATTTGAATGAATCCCATGTGTTCTCAGACTTTAAGAAGACACTCTTAACCCTTAGATGCCCTTAGAGTGACTGGACCCTACATCGTCCACAAGTGGGTCAAAAAGGACCCATATTAGAATAATATGTGTTTTTATGCCGTGTTTGGTTAAAAAAAATCACTTGTATAATATTTAGTATTATATTTTGGTTCACACTAGAAATATTTTTTATATTTAATATTTCACTATTTATAATTTTAGACATTTTTTTTACATTTTGAAAAAAAACGTTTTGAACATATCAATGCAAAGATCTCCGCTATTCTGAGACCCTCACAGTATTCCAGTCCCTTTTCAAAACTCATCTCTTCTCCTCTTGTCTACTCATCATAGCCCACCCCCCCATCAATCCATGCCGGTTGATCAAGTTTGAAAGTCCTATACCCCCCACCCTAACCTTCCCTTATATTGTAAAGCCATTTTGAGTCCTTGAAAAGCCCTATAGAAATATAATGTATTATTATTATACTGACAGGTATCAGATCTTGCTGTGTGAAATGATCTTTCTGAGAGGTGTCACTTGTGATGTAGTCTGTGTGGTCCACAGTGAATGTATTCCTGACAGCAACAGGTGATAAGAGTCAAAGGTTCCCATAGGATCCCATAGAAAATGTATGCGGGTCATTTTTGACCCACTTATGGAAGCTTGGGGTAGAAATACAAAAACTACGATTTCTTAAAATGTATCAAATTTAAATTAAAAATGTGAATGGCATGATATCCAAAACATGTTTTTTGAGGAATAGCTGGAAAATGAAATGATAAATAATTTTAATTACAAAGATACTTCAAGAAAACCACCTCACCGGGTCAAAAAGGACCCACGTATGCATCTAAGGGTTGAGTTGGTCTCCTCGTGGTGGCTCTCAGGCAGTAAACAAAGGGCTTGTTCCAACATTGCGGCTGTGCTTAGAGCTGATTTGCACGTAATAAACTCTATCTCTGTTTGTACAGTGCAGTATTATGGAGCTCTGGCCACAAGCCTCTGTGTTGACTTAACTGCTACAAACAGCCATTTGACACTGGTGTCTGTGAGGGACATTTGTGACTATTCAAACTGCATATTGAAATGTGGAAAACATCTGCTCCCTGAAAGAAGAGAGAGCAGTAGAGTTTTATTCCAGTATAATTTGTTATTTCAGTCTGTGTTTCCTCTTGTGTTTGTTTTCAGGTTTTCAAGGTTCAAAATTCAAGGCTTTTATTAGTTATACGTGCATAGCTACAGTCCAAATTACACTGTAAAGAATGATTTTACAACAAGATTGGCTTTTATTGATACAGACCTTCATATTGATGGCAGTGTCTCCCTTAACGAGAGTCCACTCGTAATAGCTGATCCCCTGGTCGTCCACGCTGTCCCGCCCATCCAGGACGGCCCAGTCTGTGGGCAGCTGGATCACCACATCCTGTCCAGCATCACTGCGGGGGGGCTCATCTGCTGAATCACACAGGATGACCATGATAATATAACGGACATGTACTGTCTATATGCCTACTCTTTTTCAATTTACACTTATTATTTGATGCTCTTATCACAGAATTGCAGTAAGAAGAACGAAAGTAAAGAATTATGCTTACTATGTTTGGGATGTGCAATATGCAAATAAATTCATTATATGGACTTGATAATCTTGCTTAAAATTAACTAATTGGTTGATAAACTATTTCAGCACTTTACTTATTATTTCACCACCTATATGATTTCAATTGACTAGAATCTACATTATTCTTGCTCTGATGGAAATAAATAAATATAGCCATTGTCACAAATACACCTGCTACTTGTCTCATTGCCCTAATCTAATTTGCATAACCTTAAAAGGCAAATCATTAACCCACCCTGCCTGTTTTATCACAAGTAGCAGATGCTAGAGGTCAACCCTCATGTAGTGAGATATATTTTAAAAAGCTGACATAAAATTGTAAGTAAAGTCTATCAAATTTGATGATGCTATTTAGGGGAGATTAAACCGAGACTGTAGTCCGGGTTTCTAAAGCCCAATAAAGTTTTATGTACCAACCTTTGCCCAACCAGATGGACAAAGAAGCAGGCATATTTATTTGGGTCCACATTCTTCACCCTCTATATTTCAGTAATATATAAAAACATAGATGTACATTCGTGTATTATACTTTCCACTATTACACTTATTATACTAATCACTATATTATCAGCAGTGTTCTCGATGAGCAAGGCTTACACACATATATACTTTGTTATTATTATTATTATTATTATTATTATTATTATCATAATTTAAACTTTAATCAACTAACGACTGGGTGAAATGTAACAAACAAGCATATGCATACTTATTAGTTGACCATACCTAACGCCCACTTAACTTAATTACACATTACGCATTACTTAATTAAGATTTAATGTAAAAATAATGTAACCGTATAGATTGACAGGCTATCCATGCCTCCCTCCTACATAATGGATCAATACATTTGATATTAGGATTATTGTCATCTCCCACCTTGTGTATTCTCCTCTTCTGGATGTCCCTCCCCGGGCCTCCTCGCTGGGCTGCCGGGGGAAACAGGGAGTTGTTCCTGCGTGTTGTTGTTGTTGTTGGGATTCCGGTTGTATGTGGTGAAGCCCTGCTGAGGAGCGAAGGAGCAGACATTTTTATTCCTGTAGGTGCAGTTGAACAGATAGCAGTTGAGACTGTCCCCGGGCTGCCTCAGGTCCTGCTGAACCACCGCCACGGTGCAGTGCGGCTGGGAGCAGCAGGCGTGCAGACAGTCCCTCCAGGAGAACACCCTGTCCGGGGCCAGCAGGAAGGTGGCCCCCTGCTCGATGGAGGCCTTGGCTCGGATGATGCGCTCCCCTACGGCGTTGAAGTCGCCCACACAGGAGTCAACCACATCGCCTGCTGCCTTGTACGTCTGGTCCTGCTGCAGCTGCTTGCGGAACTCCTCCAGGAGATCCTCCACGCCGGATATTCTGGATTTTAGATCCGATATTGGCAAAGACCGAGCGTCAGTTGGTCGGGCTGCGGTCAACAACACAACGAAACAAGCTAGCAGTAGCAGGCGGGGATGCTGAAGAAGAGCCATGTTGGTCACGCAGTTAAACACCCTCTTCTGCATACACCTGCTCTCCGAGACATCCACACAGAAAAATAACTGCGGTCGAGCCAGCCTCCACTCGGGAAAACCTAGTCAAGGCAGCCCTCACGTGATATTGCGGTGCGCGAATATCCTATGCATTACGGTAGAGTAAAAAAAAATCATCCCTCTGTGTTTAGATGAGAATAAAACAAAAACTGTCCAGTATCAAAGACTCATTTCACTTCAGGGTGATAGCAGGACATCCCATCTAGTCACTCAGAAAAAATCAGGACATTCTGATGTAGAGTTTCAAAATAAAAGACCTTTGAAATCTCTATTGTATGAGCTATCATCCCTGTTTTTAGATGAGAATAAATCAAAAACTGTCCAGTATCATAGATCCATCTCACTCCAGGGTGATAGCAGGACACCCCATCTAGTCACTCAGAAAGAATCAGGACATTCTGATGTACAGTTTCAAAATAAAATACCTTTGAAGTCTCATATATGAGCTATCATCCCTGTTTTTAGATGAGAATAAAACAAAAACACTGTCCAGTATCAAAGACTCATCTCACTCAAGGGTGATAGCAGGACACCCCACCTAGTAACTCAGGGAGAATCAGGTAATTCTGGTGTAGAGTTTCAAAATAAAATACCTTTGGAAATCTACTTTT